GGTTAGAAAATGTTACTACTAACAGAGATACAAAAGTGGGCGGTAGGTATAAAAAGGTTGACTACCCCTGATTTACACAATGATGTCATTGCTGAAATGAACCAAATAATCTCCTTTGCATAATACCTCAATACAGGTAGCCATCAACATACAACCATTCGCTTAGTGACCGGCTCGAAGTCACAGTGGCACTTAGCAACCTACAACCAATTCACATTTACGACCATTGCCACATCCCTATGGTCACGTGATCCAAATTTTTGACACTTGGCAACTGATTCGTATTGACGACAGTTGATGCTTCCCAGGTTGCTGTTCTGATTCTCACAAGAGGTAAATAATCCTTTGTGAACTTCGGACAAGCAAAGTCGATGGGGACGCCGGATTCCTTTTTCAGTTGTGTTGATAACTTAACAACTGCAGTGATCCTTTTAACCATTGCAGCAAGAAAGGTCGTAAAATGGGGCAAAACTCACTTAACAGCTGTCTTGCTTTAGTAACAGAAATTTGGCCTCAATTGCCGTTGTAAGCTCAGGGCTGCCTGTATTGACACAGATTACATCCATCACTGCAATTCCGTTCTCATTCAACAGACACCCTTGAATAAGGATGAGCCTGCCTGATCCGCCCCCAGAATAAGGTTTCCATGTTTGTTGATCCCTGGTTTTTTTGTTTTGTTTTCACAGCCTGTGCTTGTTCCCCCGAGGGCTCGGTCTCCAAAATCTGTGACCCGGTCAGTGGCCAATGCCGATGCCAGCAGGGTATCATAGGACGCCAGTGTGATCAGTGTCCACTAGACCAGTGGGGCTTCCCTCACTGCCGTCCTTGTCACTGTAACGGGCACGCAGAGAAATGTGATTCACACACCGGAGCCTGTCAACAATGCCGAGATTATACAGCAGGCCGCCATTGTGAAAGGTGAGTGTGGCAGACCAATGGAAAGTTATAATGTAAGGCCCCGCTTCCCTAAGCCCTGGTAGAAATGTTGTGCTGAGAACTATTGATGAAGCATTTTCAATAAATAAAATGTTTTGAGAGATGTATCTATTTTATGCTGGGCAGGATTATGATCAAAGATAGAAGTGTTCTTCCCCCATCTTGTTCTCAGCCTTGAAGCAATCTAAAAGAGCCTTTCATTTATTCTCCCCTAAAGATGGCATTACTCTTACTGTGTAGATTCCAATCTTCAGGGGAAGAGTTGAGCTGCGCTTGCAGAGTTATTTTAGGAAGAAGAACCTGTGTGACATCTATGAACAGGTCTATAAGGAGACAATAGATAAATAGCAATAGCAATAGCAGTTAGACTTATACACCGCTTCATAGGGCTTTCAGCCCTCTCTAAGCTTGATAAAATATTGATATAAGTGCCCATTCTGAACAATACTAATTTTGTGAAAAATAACCTTGAAAAGGTCATGATAATTTTCGATGTCTATCATTGCTTGAATTTTTGCTTCCCTTGCAGGTGCCTGGACGGATACTATGGAGACCCAGTCCTGGGATCAGGGCAACAGTGTCGGCCATGTCCCTGTCCTGGATATCCAGGTTCTCGGCACTATCACGGCATTTCGTGCCAGGCTGACAGAGACACCAACCAGATTGTTTGCTTGTGCGCTCCTGGCTACACAGGTAAGGTATACAGGTAATTCTCACTTAACCACCTGTTGCTTGGTGACAATTCAGAGTTAAAGCAGACCTCCACCAAACTACAACCCGATTTCAAAATTCCAACAGTCGTGTGATCACTTTTCATAACTAGCTTGCGTTTACAGCCATTTGTGATCTCCCGCGATCACACGACTCTGATTTTCTGCAGGTTTTTCTTTTTTCTTTTGCTGTCTTGGGCATTTATTTCCAGTTTCTGGCAACAACAACAAAAAAAAAAAAAAAAAAAACCTTTGGAAAACACGGGGTGGCATTTGCTTAACAATCATTGCAAAAGAGGTCATAAAATCAGGTGCCTAACAGCTATCATGGCATATCTGCAATTACAGGCTCAATTATGGTTGTAAGTCGAGGACTACCTGTATCCTGGGGGCAAGGAAGGTGTATGATTGCCAACAATAATTTAAGTTTCAGAAATCTGTGATGCTCCATCCTTTGCAAGCCCACCTTCTCCGATTCCCCTTTGAAGCATTATCGGACTCTTGCCACAATTATGCTAAATTGACCTGCTCATCATGTGACTCATCAAAAGAATGTAGCCAGCAGAGACTTGAGATCTTTTTCAGACCAGTGGAGGGAGCAGAAACC